CTACTACTACTACTACTACTACTACTACTACTACTACTACTACTACTCTATTAATTATATTAATATAATATATTATATTATGTAAATCTAGAACTTAGAACTTACAACACCATCACGTGTGATGTTTTCTTCATAACTACATAACTTGACGGTATACTGAATCCTGTATGAGGTACTGCAAAAACGTGCTCAGCCTACACCATAAATAGATACAAGTTGTACTGTACTGGTTGTACTTGTACTGACTTAACTTGTACTTGTACTCGTACTGTACAAAACCTACCCTATGGATCCCTATGGGCACCCCAAAATAGAAAACACTTCACCAAAGGACCACGTCTACAAGTCATGTACAGTTTGTATAATGATATGATACGATACAATTGATTGTCAATTCTCTTGTGATCGTGACGATTAGCAACCACTGGGGCTACTACTGCTGCTACTACACTACTTGAGCTCCGGTTTACTGAATTCTGTCACTGTCTCAATCTTCAATTCAACACTCACTCACTACGGTAACAGTAAAGTCCTTTCAATTTCGTGCACTAGAAACGCACCCATGTTAATGTTAGTGTCAGTTCATGGTGTTATTTTGTTTTAACAAAAATTCACTTAACTCTAAGGCTACGGTCCGCAGTCTATACTGTAATTTTATTAAATCGATAATTTGAAGTTGAAGTGCCAACATATTGAAACTGCCATTGTTTTGTTCACAACTCTTACTATTACTTTACTTAATATTCAAAGATTCAGAATTCAAATGATATTCACAATGTATTCTTACGTAGATAGGTTGGGTGCATGCATGATGTGTTGTGTTCTGGAATTCTTTGCCTCAGATGCCAGAGAGATGCCATGTTTGGCTGACCACTTCGTCCTAGCTAAACTTACCACCAAAAAACAAATACATTGGATATGATATGTCTTAGAGTTTAGGACGTCGTAGACAAAACATCCTGAATTGAATCCAACCCTACAGCCTTAACCTCAAGTTTTTGGACACTGACATTCGACTTATATGGATTGACAAGATCCTCCACTTTCACACACATTTGAGGTTAGGGTTTCGTCTACGAAGCCGTATTGTAGACTGAACATCCTACAGTTTAATTGTGTAGGAATTGAAATTGAAAAGCAAGACCAACAGAAAGGACCAGAAGTGAATACAGGACCAAGCAGGAAACCCCCAGCCAAAACTGTCAATATTTTTGTGCAGGGGTCAGGTTGAGGACTTGAACAAAATGCATGAAGTCTGCTGAGCCAAGGATAGTGGACTGGATCCTGCTAGCTGTCGTGCTATCTCCGATGTTGCCCGCATCAGCCTTATTTCTCGAAGCATGCTGTGTGCAGTATGTCGTGTAAGCGTTGTAGCTACAGTATGATGTATGAGTCCAGGCAGATTCACATAGTGCAGACGTGAGGCAAAATGTTCAGTAGAGTCAGAATCAATAATCGGTGTTTGGGCTGTAGTACTTTGCTGTCTCAGGTTCCCTGGGCAGGCAGGCATACACACTTGGTTCCAAAGTCACTGCGCTCTCCACCCACGTGAAGCTCTTTGACTGGGAGAGTGGGAGCTTGCTCAGTGGTGAGGAGATTAAGTTTGGCATCCAATTGTGTCAGATTCAATTCAATCCTATTAACAGGGTCTGTTAAGATAAGTTAAGTTAATGTTAATATGTTGAGAAGCGAGTGCCAAGCAGCTGTTGGCTGTTATTTAGAAACTTTTGAACCTCAGTCTCCAGATGTTGGTTCCTTATTTATGCAACACTACCATGTGACGCAGGACCTCCTTCTGCTGCAGGGATTTGACCCGTACAAAGTCGACTTGGAAGGCATGTCATACAACGAGATCAACTGTCTAGCAGGCCCAACTTGGGGTTGTTGGCCAGGGGCTTTCCACTAGTTTTTTTCATTTTTCTGTGAGGTTGGAGGTTGCAGGCTACAGGCTGCAGTTTGTTTCTTCTCATCGTGACGTTTCCACATCATCGACGACTAGTTGTTGACGTTGTTTGAACAACACTGGAGGTGATGCATGGAGTGTGCCTGTCTGTGGAGCTTTCCTCTTGGCTTTCGTTGCTGGAGTGGTGCCCGGACCTACAGGAAAGTCTGCCCTCAAGCTCAAGGCCACCCCTCAGCCTCCATTGGCGCGGAACGCTGATGAGGACTCTGATACTGAAACAGAACTTGAAGGTGACAGTTGGGAGGTTCCAAGTGATGGGAGCCCCTGGAGATCCCCTTCAGACTCCGAAACCCTCATTCTTGGTATGAGTCCAGTGCCTCGAGAGAAGAAGAAGACGAAGCACTTTAACATCAAGAAAGTGCAAGACGCAGACACCATTTGCCATGTATGCTACCAGCAAATCAGCCAAGGCAGTATTGCACTTACCTGGACCAAGTATGAAGACCGTCCTTCTGGGTTCCCCTTTCCATTTGAGCAGCACTTCCATCCTGACTGCTTCCCAACCTTTGTGACCCGAGAAGGTATTGAGGACACTGCCATTGAACACATCTTGGATGTCGATGTGCCTGCGAACTGGGGGATGGAAAGGGCCAGGACGATGCTGGAACACGTCCTGCAGGTGCTGGTTGAGGTCACGGGTGAGTGGGCGGCAGAGGACACCCATGCCGACACACATGCCGACACACGTGCCGACACCCAGGGGAAAGCGTCCTCTTGATCAGCGGTTTGAGACTGGCGAGAGGGAACCATGACAATGACGCCCAGTCCAGTTTTGTTTAAAGTGAGCTCTGCCATTTCCAAAAGGGCAGAGAGCAGGCATCATGCAATGCAGCAATGGTGCGGGTATGTGCGGATGGATTTTGATACCATGCAACAATGCAGAGATGCTACAACGCTGGTTGGTGAAAAAGTCGGTGTTTGTGGCAGCACCCTCGAACCAATGGGCACAAATAGGGTTAGACCAAAATCCAAAGCCGGAATCAAGATTTGTTTGACTGTTGACTGTTGACCCCTGTCGAATCTTGGCATGGATCTAGTTGCCACTTCAACCACCTGACCGAACTCCTTGGCTTGCTTGCTTGGTTGCCCCGTCTTGGCTTTGCTGGTCATTTGATTGTTTACTTTGAGTTGAAACTACCTTCAATGACCAGTTGACACTTGTTGTCTCACTGAACCTTTTCGACTGTTTTGCTTGATGCGTCAAGCCGGATTTGGTAGCGCTTGTTTGTTCTCTTGTCCTGTCCAGCGAGCGTGGCGTTCCCATCTGCTGATTCCAATGGCAGACCCAGAGCAGACCAAAAGCCTTGAAGATGCAGCCAGTGATGAGGAGGATGGATGGCCTGAAGGTGAATGCGGCCTATGCAACCAAAAGTTCCAGTCGCAGGATGAGGACTAGGTTTTTGTTTGACAGTCTGGTATAGGATATTATAGGATAGTATAGTCCAAGTCCAAGGTATTTCTTGTGAATTCCTGTCACAGTCTCTTTAACTGCGGAGCACATGCCTGAGGATGCTGTTGATGGAGCTGCAATGACTGTGACCCCATGCAAGGGGGTCAACAAAGGCGAGTGCTTACGCTGCTTCTACATTTGCCGGGGGTCATTCAAGAATGTTGAGTCAGGGATGCTTCGGGGCTTATTGAAGAAGAATGCCAATTTGCGGGACAAGTTGCTTGGCATTCCTGTTTTCCTCAAAAACTTGAAACCTCCCTGTCAGAGAAATCTCCCAGTTGCGTTAGTTGGAGAAATGAGAAACCTCCGATTTACAGGAACTTCCCCCATGATCGAGAAACCTCTGACTTACAGATTTGTTTTGTTCAGTGTTTTTTTGTTCGAGTACGAGTACGAGACTATACTGTACAGTATATCTGACTAAAAGCTTCTGGTTTATAAATAATATAGTATATTTAAATAAATATAAACTTCCAAGTTACAACACAGGGAGCCTGTCAATGCCTAGGTTCCGGTCGCTTCGCAAAAAGCATATTCGGATCACAACCAGAAGCCCTGGCACCCGCCCTCGGCATGAAAGCATTGACGTTCGTCATTTTACTGAGAAAAAGAATGAGGCCTTTGTCGATATATTCGAGGACTGTGGTTTGGGCAAAAAGCTATGAGCTGATATTAATCACTGTCCACCGTCCACGGTCTATTCGATAAGTTTTCTAGAACTGATAGTCTCAAAACAAGCAGTGAGCGTGTAGACTCCCCAATCCCTTTTGCCCTGTGAGGAGGGGGAGTGGATGTCCATTTCTGATTATATCGACACCAAGATTGACGATGAGAAAATCAAGAAGAAGCTGAAGACTCAAGCGCAGAAACGGGCTTATGTGACCAATGTGTCCTGGCAGTCTTCCACTCTTCTGTTAAGTTATTTTTTTGTCAGTGAGTCTGTGCCTGTTTGTAACTAACGAAGGAAGTATCAATGTAAGATCTGGGAAAACATGTGACTGAAGAACTAAGAAGAAGAAACAGGATTGTTTTATGTGTCGACTGACAAGTTACAGATTCATTCTCACCAGAACCCTGGTTAGTTTGTTAGGTCCTGAAGCTCAAAGTGCAAAAGGAGAGAGCAGCAAGGGTTGCAAAATACTTGGAACAGTAATCTAGCAACTACAGTGAGGGAAGCGGTCAGAACCTAACACTAAGCAAGTTTTTCAAATCACTCCCTAGCCCTAGCCTCATCACATTTGAATGCTTCATGCTCAATCATGTTCCTTGAAGGACGACATGGGAGTTGATGGAGTCATCATACTCCCAAATGCGAAAGTGAAAAAGGTTCGCATGGGATCAAGGGTCAGCTCCGCCCAGCTGCGACGTGAAGAGCATGCTGATGGCCAGGATGCCAAGGCAGCTGCAGAAAAGAATAAGATCTGTACCGCCATGGATGTCAACACGAAGGACTGGTGTTGTCAATAATTACTATTGTTTTGCCAGCCTGCAGCCAGGTCAGCCACTGCACTTGAAAGCTTCGGAGTTTCAAGTTTCCCAGTTACCAGTTCAGGATGGAACCCCACACCTTCCCATCATTCACACCCATCAAAACAAAGTAACACAACACCTCTTCAACCAAAGTTGATGTGAGGAGGAAGAGACTGCCGCTCTTGGTGACATGCCAGAGGCTGAAGAAGAGGAGCTTGCACAGCCAGATGAGTCTGAGGGAGAGGGATCCGATGACGGCATGTTTGGGTTCGCAGGTGCGACTGTGAAGGCAGCAACAAAGCCACAACCCAAGAGGAGAGCACGAGAAGTCACGTCAGCACCAGGAGGGCCTGTCCCAGGATCCGGCACAGCTTCTGGTTCAACCAAACCAGAAAAAAGATCCGAAGAGACTGTGAATGCCAAGATTGCCAAGGCTGTCCAAGCCATTGATTTCATGAAGGAGGTTTCTGGTTTGGCCATTTGGCAGGGGGCTGTCAAAGAGAAAGACTTGAGCAGCAAGCTGTCCAAATACCTTGATTTGGCAAACCAGCTTGATGGAGCCACAACCAATGTCGAAACAGCCAAAGACCATGCCAAAGCACTCTATGACAGAATCACCGCTGTGAATACCGTGATTCAATGCTTGGATGATGCCCGCCTCTTGCTGAGCAAGATCAGCAAGGACTGCGAGGCGCTTGAATCTGACGAGAACAGGAATATGTTCCAGCAGATGGTGGATGGCTTGCCAGATGACTGCAAGAATACTGTCCTGACAGATGTTGGGCGCAAGCTGACTGAGGTGCTTGGTTGGAAAATCTTTTCGCAATTTTTTCACCCACCTCTTGCCGCAAACCACCCAAGAAAATTCCTGATGCCAAAGTTTGGTTTAAAACACCTAGTCCACCCTGAGAGGCCTGCTTCCAGCCTGGCAGTGATGGCTACTTTTGGGACTTCGTGAAGTTGGATGTCAACAAGAAGGAACCCAAACCAGTGTGTTTGTCCAGCGCTTTGCCTCATGACAAGGCTTCATCCCTTCAGCAGCAGCTTGTCAATGGATGGATGGACAGGTTCCGAACTGCTGGCCCTGACCCCACTGAACATGCTGTGGGCTGTGTGGGCTTCCCAAAGGAAATTTGGAAGGCTACAGCCAGGACCCTTGACAAAGCAATGGTCAAAAGACTTGTGGCTGTGTTACAGTGTTTGTTTGTAGTTTGTTAGTTTATTAAATATTATTAAATAAGTAGTGTTACTGTACCCTGAAATGTCGATTGCGACATGCTGCAAGGATTGATGATGGCAGCGACACTGATTGTTTGGAGGGATTCTCAGTGAAGTTGCTCCTGGACCTGCACCGGTTCGTGGCTGTTGGAAATGTCATGGAGCACACAGCAGGCAACATTGTCCTGGACAAGAGGACTGTGAAAGAGATAAAGGCTGCTGTGGGCTTCTCTCAACGGGTTTCGCCACGATGTGCTCTGCTCTTCCGTTCTAACCAACGCTTGAGGACAGTGGTTAGGGCTGACATGTCCAACGTGCATGGACCAAGGATGATAAAGTAGTTTGAACATCAGGTGAGTCAATAGTTTTGTAATTTGTGTGGGAATTTTTGGTTCATGGGGTGCTTTTGCTTTTCAAATGTGGCAGGACCCTTTGGCAAGCGACTTGTGATATAGCCAAGTCCGCCATTGATGAGACCAAGGTTGTTTCTGAAGGTGGCAACATGGCAAACAATTTGAAGGAGTTGATTTCAACTGTGCAGAACGCAGTTGACAAGTCAGATGCCAGCAAGGGCTCTTGGGACCAGATCAAGCTCAATGCTGCAAACTGTGGCAATGCTTTGGCTTACCTTGACGCGTGCCAGGAATCGAAGGAGGAGGGTGCTCAGGACGCCTTGACTGCATTGAAAGCCCAGGTGGAAGCCTTGACCGTGCTCATGGGTTCTGACACATTTTCCTCTTCCACAGCTTCAGTGTCCAAGCATCTTCAGGACCTTTGGCTGGCAGAGCCAGGGGAGAACCTCAACTTACCCTGCCGAGAGAAGAAAGACGTAATGCTCATCCTGTGGAAGGTGGCAGTTCAAGGCTCTGGGATGGTCAAAAGGTCATTAATACTGACTTTTGTTTTGTACAGGATGGTAGTGTAGTGTTTCTACATGACTGACTGCATGTTATGTTGCAGTCTTCAATCGCTACAGGATTGATTCTTTCTGGAGTCCTTCGCAAAGATGTGCTGTACAATTCGACCTTGAGTGAGTTTGCAATTGCCCTACACGACTATGGCAAGGAGGAGAAGCCGAATCTGAAAGCCTCCTGTGCTGCCAGAGCCTCACTCCACAGATGCCTTGCCAAATGTCACAAGCTGGATGGCCTTCCTCCTTGGGTCAAGGAGGGAAAGCTCGCAGTAGAACGCTTTGACACCCAGCTGACTGTCCAGGGGATGAGAGAGTTCAAACAGCTTGTGGTCGCAGGGGGGCCTGAGAAAGCCGTCCAAGCCATCCAGAAGGATGCCATCGAGCTGGGCCCTGATTTAGACAAGGCCTTGGGTGTTCTTCGGCAGGCTCAGCTTCTGCAGAGTTTGTCTTCAAGCCCAGATGACCCTTTGCCCCAGCAAGCCAAGACATTGCTCACCATTGACAGCCTTGAGATTGAAAACATCAAGTTCTTCTTTCCTGACGTGATCGACACCCTCACCAAGTTCAGGGCCAAGGCCCATGAGAATATGGCAGAGGGTTTGGGCAAGGTTGAAGAGGCGATCAAGAATGCTCAGACCAAACTCTGCAAGTACAGGTTGGGAGTTGCGAATCTGACTGTTGGACCAACCTAGTTTTGGGGAAAACGATCACTGACAGTTTGCGTGTTGTTCTATAGGAGTCCAGCCTCACTACTCACTCTTTCATTTTTTGACCCCTGCAGTGGCTTGGTGGAAGCTGTCACTCACTGGAACATGGATAGCGTTGGCTGGATATTTTCTGACGAGAATGACACCGAGAATGAGTTCTTGGAGCTGCTGCAAGTGCGGGAGCAAATGGCTCACGACAGTAAAGTTCTTGAGACCATCCTCACCTTCAAGACTTTGAAGTCTGGCTCAGAGCATGTCATCTCCAGGGCAAAGCCTTTGCGAAAAGACGTTGAGGAGAGGGAGGGACCTAGCTTTAGGCTTCCGTCCAAGTTTGGGCTGTAGGGTGTAGGCCAGGCGTGTAGGCTATAAGGGATGTTTTTTGTTCTGAATTCCAAACTTCAATTTGCAGGTTCCAGGTTTGAAGGATCCTAATTAACAGCAGTGTTGCCTGGAATCTGGAATTAGGAATTGCGTGCCCTCATCTCTTTGACAGTTGCTTGCGGAACAGCTGCTGAGTGTGTGGTGAACCAGCAGAAGTACAAGGGTGGCGCATTGTCAGTGGCACGGAAAGTGGGTGCCTTTCTGAGCCAGAAATGCGCACTCAGTGTTGGAGATCTACCAGGTGCTCTTCGGCTCAAGTTTGAGGAATTTTCTCAGATGGACAATGCCAAGAGCTCTCCTGAGGAGAAGAGTCTTCAATTGAATTTGCATTTGTACTGCCAGCTTCTTTTTGTCAGCTGTCCTGAGTCCTTTGTTTCTTCCCAAATGTTCTGTGGTCAGTCTGTAAGCTCTTGTTTGGCTCAGGAAGGACACTCCAAACGAAGATGGGGACAAGAGGAAGCGAAAGGCCGCAGAGAAAGATACCAAACCAGCAAAGTCAACAAGGGTGAAGCCTGAGACGACTGAAAAGGAGTCCAGGAAAAGGAAATCTCAAAAGTGAGTAGATATGCGGTATGCGCTTTTGGCTTAGGGAGGTCTCTGCAGATCTTAGGGGTGGATAGATCGACTGGACTGGACCTCACTGTTTTGAGCCCGCGGAAAAATCGTGCTGGATCAACTTTTGCGGCTGGTCTCTTGTTTTTTTTTTCCGCAGGAGCCGTTAGAAGGTAGAGATTGAAATGACCTGTGAGCAGTTATTTCTTTCAAGGTGCATTGTCCTGTGATTGATCAAAGAAGAGGTGAACAAAGCTAAGGGTCTGGGAGGTCTCTTTCCTGTCAGGCAGCCCACCTATTTTATAAATAGTTCCAGATGTAGTCAGGGGGTATGTTATGAGCCTGACAGTTAAAGAGGCCCACCCAGACCCTAATATATACCTGTATCCCCCAATCTATAGCAAAAGCACGGGGGCATGAAAGCATGATTATATTATATGATACTATACTACATGAAATAGATTGAAATAATTCATCCCGTTTAGAATCAACCCTCCCTCGATCCATTACCACTGTAATATACTGTAATGTTTCCCCATCAAAACGGTTGACGCTAAGATCCCTGCTTCAAAAGAAAGAGGCTTTCCAAACCTCATCGACTTGGAATTGATTTTGGACTTCAATGGTGTACAATGGTTGATCTGTAAAAAAGACCCTGACAATCCAATCATGTACTATTCACATGCTTGAACCATCTGGTAAAAAGAAATGCGTGTTTGGATTCACAACGGGACATCTGCTACTAGGAGCAAGGACGCTATAAGGGGCTCCTGGCCATACTACTAGGAGCAAGAAGCTACTACGCTACT